TTGAAGAAAAGAATGATCTACAGCACTACAAAATGTTCATTATGTCAAACCTAGGTGCCAGTAGTAGCTGCTACTTCTGAAACGCCTTTAATGGCTTACTAGGATGTTATTACTTGTGACTGCTTACGTATAGTTTCCAAAATGTTATTTTAAACTGAAAATGTAGACAATAGGGATTTTTTGCAGTGGTATTCCAAATCCATTTTTTAGTTCTATATTTTTATCAGATAATACAAGTTGACATTCGGATCACCGTATACACTGAACGGGAAAAAGACGTACAAATTCTAAGGTAAGGTAATGACACGAAAAACGTACTAGTTTAAGGCAATTTAAATGGCATATAGAACAAGTTTGGTGAGGATATCCAGCAGATTCAGCTAAGTGGCATGATTTAAGAGAAAGGGGAGTTTTGGCTTGAGTAGTGGCAAGACAAATTCACGCACCCAATTGAGAAACGTTGTTCTCAGCGTCTCCGCGACAAAAGTAAGTACCGTAAAGGAGTTGATTTCGTTGAGATTGGTTGCAATCCTCATCAACCAATGGCGAACTTTAAGTGACAGCCTTTGAATTTCACATAACAAAGCACAGCATACTTCCAGTGGTAAATCAATTGTCTTAATAATGCATGGGGCATTCGATAGGTTTCACTTACCGCTTCCCTTCTTAAAGTGGAGCAAAAATGATGCTTTATTGGAAGACGATACGAATGTCTTCAACGATGACGCTGGCTACGGATTTAGACATTCTCGCTCTACTTCCTCGTCCATAGCACTTCAGCCCTTACCTCGAATGTCGTCAAGCAGATTCAAGACAATCGGATTTTTGGAAAAAATGGAAAAGGGGAATAGTCCAAATGCAAGTGATTTATTCAGCTATGTTATGCGTGCCTCCACAAAGCAGGAAAGTCTGAATTCACAGGAAGACGCAGTGGCTAAATGGGAGGAAAACGAGGAGCTTTTTGCTACGCTTAGTCGTCATGCTGCTATTATTTCAACTGCCAGCTCTTCTAATCACAATGAACCACCATGTGGAACTGAAGACAATTTCATTGAACTAAAGTATTCTCCATTGTTTCGGCATCTTGAAAGGTACGTTTTGATGATGTCGAATAGCCTTACTACTGGCGAGTTCTCGGTTTTGTCGCTAATAAAGGCTGGAAGCACACTTGAGAGGTAAAAAACATGAAGTGATAGTTGTTTAATCATTGTAGTGTTGAACACTGGTGTTTGTTTTGTTGTAACAGCAGTCACTTAAAGTCTGTTTGATGCTTGAAACACGTAAATAAGTGAGGATGGATAAGATAGCAGTGTGAAGGTATCTGGGGAAGCAAACAGTTCTTGATAGTTTGATACTCGATCACAAGTACGTCAAAGGGACTTAACCAAGATTCTACACAGCGCAGGGATTTCCCACTGTATAATCACAGGATTCCAAAATGACAAGTTCTGCTAAAAGCGACCCATTTATTGTCATGCTGAGCTTGTTCACTTATGCAATTAAAGTGACCATTAAAGTCGACGCCTTTTTTCATAGTCTGTTTCATATATCACAAGTTAGCATTTTCAAACCCTACAATAACGTGTGGTTTCAAACTGAGTCCACGGATTAGTACATGTGACGTGCAGTAAACGTTTGACGAAAGCCTTAATGACTACAAAGTGATAAGTTTTGGCACACGTGTGTAACTCTCTGCAAGTGATTAATCGCAGATCACAAGCCCACATAATGTTGGTGGCGGCGCCTGTATGCTGTAGAGCTAGGACCAAGAGGCAGAACAAAATGCATTTGCAGAAGTCAATTGCTAATTGTATCTATCCTATTTGGAAGCTTATCTACCTTTTTAAAAGAAGAGCTGCCTACAGAATCCGTGTGATATGTCTGCAGAAAATAAAGACATTAAAGAAATGCACTACAGATTCGAAACGAGTTCATTAAAAGCCCCCGATAATAATGCTAGTTAGGCGTAACAGACCGATTGTTTATACTCAAAAAAATGTCTCATGAAATAGTTCGAGGAAGGGATTTTTATGCCCCTGCTTTTCCTTGTGGTGTGCACAATAGACTGTTTTAGTTAAACAGCCTTCATATCTGTGCCAACAGTCATTCCAGCCGCCAATCTGTTGAACATTGCCCAGCATTGCAATGTAGACGCAGTGATCATGTGACAATGCAAGTCAGGTCGATTGACGTCTCACATGGCACCCGTTCTGCCAGCCTCTTTGTGTAGGCACGTCTCTGTTGTTTGCACTCCAGCGTCAATGGTCCCTGCAATGCCCTTTTTGTTTGCTCTAGTTTGGGTGGAGTAAAGGCCGAAACATCACAGCTCAAAGTACTTGTGTGGAGATGAGTGAGGCGACCGAGATCGCTCAAAAAAATCTTGTGTGATTTTTAGCTTAAGCAATCAATTTGCATTAAATGCATGACCTAATTATATTTAGATGCTGAACCGACTCTTGAAAGACTGTGAGAAATATTAGCCTTAGTTTTTAATTCGGACTGATTTTTGCGGCATAACTTGAGAATTGTACCATTCCTTTATTTCACCCAATATGGTTGCCCTTGAACGGCAAATCCAAGTATCCTGAAACTGCAAAAGGTGGCACACAAAGTCAGTTTTCTTAATGGGTTGCCAAACTCATGCCATTTTATCCATCAACATCGACACTCAATAGGTCATTACGCGTGTGCAAAAGAAAACATGTTCAGCACTGCTCGCTGCAGAGGATTGGGAGTTTTGTAGGATGATGAGGCCCAACAACCTCATCGCGCAGTGCATCATTCAATCAAGTTAAAACTTTCCAGGGAGATGTGACACCATTAACTCGTCAGTGCTATCAAACTGGTATATGTTGACATTCGTGAGAAGTATTTTTTGCAAAAAATGGAGCACATGATGTGCATCTGCAACGGTCTCTAGCAGCAAACCACGTAGGCTTGACGCAAAATGCTGGACCGAGATTTCTGAAATCGCAGCGGTGACCATTCATATATGTAATTTTGTAGTCGCTTTGTATTCTATTTGTACCTCCAGTAATAATTTACCACAAGGAGACATGCGTGTCTTATGGCAGAATTTTTTAAAATTTTCTCTCAATATCGACTGAGATGCGTGCAAGAAAAACTTTGCATTTTTGTGCTTGCAAAGATAGGAAATGTTCAAAGATTTTATATCATTTTGCAGTCACGTTCTGGTTTATGATAAGTCAGGGGATGCCTCCTGTAGTCGATTACTCGTTTGCCCCCCTGACAGAAGAAACTTAAGGCGGCCTTCATGACCCACTCTTAATGGTTGGCACGATTGCTGTAGATATCCATCATCCATTAAGGTACGCAGTGCTCACTAATAAAATACTAAAATGATTGACTAAACCCACTTCATCAGATGCGATGGAGAGTGTCAGTGTTGCATTAGTTGGAGCATAAATTTGTTTCCAAACATCAACCGCAAATAAGACCCATTCGCATTACAAGCTGTGCCAATGTTATCAAATCACTCTTTACACATCCAATGCTTACCATTATAACTGCCAATAATAGTTTCAGCACAGGAGGCGCATTATGAGTTTTGGATAGAGAGCATTCGAGAATCTCAGGATGTAGACGTTGGCATACTCTGTCTGAAGGCTGCTTGCCTTCAGGTTCTCGGACGATACTCTTAATAGGTGTCACGATTTGGAACCTTTATCGTTGGCTTGAAGCCAATAATCAAAAAAGAGCCGGCAGATAGGACTCCTTATCAAAACTGTCTATACCTTTATGCATCAAATTAAGTATTATGGGTGTGGCCATCCTTTTACTGGATTTGGTCAGCAAGGCAAGGGATTTGAATGAGACCAAATTGCCTCACGCTCAAGTTTTGCTGAAGTGGAGGGTGTGGCATGTATGTGCTCAACTCTACATAAAGTAGCAGGTAGCATACATTCCAAACTAAATGAAATGGTCGAACTGTCATGCTAGCTGACTGTTCCAGCTGCTTGTGCATCTCAAAGTCAGTAAGGGATATTTAATTGTACTACAGGGAAGTATTTATGGAGCAGTGTTAGCAGTTTACTTAGTCTCGTTACAAATTTGCACACCTAAACACATCGGAAGGGAGCAACTACTACACGGTAATCACCCTCACCACAAATCTTGTTTGACAGTCACATGTACTTTGTTTTACTTTCAGAATACGCTACTCAATGAACTCCATGAAACGAAAAGCAAAGACGTTAAGCAGTTCTCTTAATTGCACGGGTAAGGGACATAGGCGATTGAAGGAAGAAGCTTTCTGCACTCAAGCCTTAGACTAACACTGCGCCCGCTCATGGTCAAAATTTACTCCACCGGCTCCCTTCCTCCTCCATTCAGTACTATACATATATTGATTCACAGTCACAAAGTTAATACAGATCTTGGACTGCTGGTACATACAGAACTCTGACTTCCCACCGCTACGCGTACGTCCGCCCTACATCCTCATGAACTACATTGGTCACAAATCCCGCATTAAAGCACATTCTTCTGTAAAGCCCAAAAATCACTTCGTTGACCTTGCTGATCTTACAAATTACTATGCCGCATTTAAAACGACTCTGAGTATGTAGCACTCGAGAAATTTAGGAATCGCAAACCGACACGCACGTTTTCCAACTGGACAAATCACACCTTTTCGACCTCTAGGAAAGATCCCACCTTTGTCTTGCCCATTTGAGCGGTTGAAATGCGCAATGAGTAGGAGTAGTGAAGCCTTGGAAAAAGAAATCCCAGTGCTGTTCATCTGGAAGCACAAATTCTAAAGCAAGGCTCAGTTCAACTACACCTTACATTCCCCACTCAGTGAAAATTGTCAGAGCAAACACGTCAAAGCTGTACTACGAAATAAGGAATAATAGTCGTTCAACGATCCTAGTGTTGCGTTTTGAAAACTGATGCCACATCTTTGGGAGGAGCATTACTTTTTTGTTCACGTTCAAGAGATCTGGGAGGTATGGAAAATTTAGGAACCAAAGGCTCCACTGACATTTCAAACACATGGGCAGGATCCGGAGAGATCCCTTGTTCCGCCAATTCCAACACCTTGCGTAACCTGCTCCCGCTGGGCGCGTACTCGCGGGGCGTGCACAGAGACCATGTAGGCTTGGCTGCAGCCGCACCTGATAGCAGCAACAGTTGAGCACACTTCAAGTGGTTATTTTTCGCCGCCAAGTGCAATGGCGTAACTCCGATCGCATTCTCCAAATCAACTATTGCCTTGTTGCACACCAGAATCTTGGCTATCTCGAAGTTGCCATTTTTACAAGCTATATGAAGGGGAGAAAGTCCAAAACCATTCATCCAATTAGGATCCACACGCTCCATCAAAATGCGCCGTGCTTTGCTCAAATCATTCGTGCGCGCCGCCTCGCACAGGGCTTCTTCAAGATAGAAATGAGCGCGCGGATAAATGGCACTCGGCGCCTCTTCGTCATCTCCCATTATTTACAGGAGTCAGTTCACTGACGAACGCAGATAGTATTGTGCATTTAAGATAAAGATCAATATAGTGACGATTTAAATCATGCCAGTTCATTTTGTTCGCGGAGGCTTGCTCAGCAATCCCCCGAATCACACATAAGCATTTATCTATACACAAATTTCTAAACTCATATTTAACAATCGCACCCTACTTCTGGAAAGTTCCCAATACTTCGGAAACTTACATATGAGCCCTGGACATTCCCATGCATTGTACTTGCAATGCAGCCAATATTTGAAAAGGATGATAATACATACGCCTCCAATGCCCAAAATGAACTAACAATCCAATGCGCGATGGATACAGAACAGTCGAACGCAAAAAATGATGATACCAAACGCCGCGAATTAATATGATCAGCAAAATAAAGTGCCAAAGAAGCACTGGAGTAAATATGGCACTCTAAAATTCAGCCATGAAGTAAATCGACAAGAAAACTCGAACCTTGTACAACCACTAGACGGCATCGTTTGAGCCCCAATTTTGTTCTAAGCCAATCGATGGGTCCAGATTGCAGCCAACACCTGGTATTGAGGACTTCATGACCTTTTTGTACATAGGCTACATTAAAACGCTATGACAAATACGGGATCAAGCAGTACTGATATAATGGGACACCTTAACAATTGGAATTGTTATCGAGGCAAGATCTACTGTAAGTATTAAAGTACGCATTTCATGAAAATAGGTGCTGACCGGAGAAAAAGACGAATCAGTAGGTGGCCTGGGACAACAGTCAATGTCCAAGGGAGCGCCTTGATGCAATAATCAAAACTTCAACAATCGACAGCTGAACGGGAGTTTACGCCCTTTTACCTAATTGTGAATTAGCCAAGAGGTTAAAGAGTTAACTGAGCAGACTAACAAAGACAAACATTGCTTTCGAGTTATTGTTGAATTGAGTAAACGATTGTTCACAGAAGCCCTGTACGCAAGATGAATAGCCGCATGTTTATGCAATCCGATCACCCGCGTTTCCAAGGTTTGAGTTCGAAGAACGAAATACAAAATGTTGAAGTCTGCCGGCGATAGAAGCAGTAGAAAAGTCAAAGGTCGAGAGGGGGTCAGAACCCGTTGATGGTCTCAGGGCTTGTTGAAATTGAATTCAATACGTACATAAGGATGTATGCATCGCCGGTCTGAAGTAAAAACGGAGAGGAATAAATATAATCAAAAGGGCCATTGGTCACCGCTCTATTTGTCAACATTTAGTTGGATAAATAAGCCGTAAAATCCATCTCAGCCTGTTACTATGGCCGTGAGCTGAAGATATGAGTTAACGTTGATAGCTAATGAAGCAGTACAAATCTTGACTCTACGTCCAGAACTTACCACAACGGGACTATGTAGTCTGCTGACACAACTGTCATTAAAGCTGTACCACGTTTTTCCGTTCTTAGCGTATGCAGTGTAGTGACCGCCGCCAACAAAACCCATGTGATTGCTCACTGCCACAAGGTCATACACCTTGGTACTTTCGGTGCAGGTCACCTTCAAATCCCTATCACGAGAAAAGTGAAGAAATTATTGCTATTTCACCACTGCCACTAGCATCAGCGTACTAATTTTATAAAAAAGAGTCATAGCATGAGAAATCCATGCTAAATCATACACCGTAGTAATACGCAAAGCAACTGAATAAGAATAAAAACGCTATTTGTAAAGCGTTCACAGGACATTTGGAATGCAATTAAGGTGAGTAAGTTACACAACTTACGTCACAGGATAATCGACAAATAGCTCATTTTTGTGCATCCGATAAGCGCTCCTATAGCGCTTCAGGTGGATCACAAGAACTCGGGGAAGAGACCAGATGTCGAACTTTTTGAAAGCTTGTCGATGTTGCTTACACTTTTTGCAGTACCAAAGGTCATGATTGCCAAGCTGTTCAGACGCGAGGAAAAGGTCAATACAGTCCGCCAACTTTACACTGGGTAATATAATTGGTTCGTTGAGTTCAATTTCCAGACTTTCCGGAAGTCCGATCGATACGTAACTTTCAACTAGGATGAAATTACGAAATGATTGCACATATGAACATTATGAAAAAACACTAAGAGCACTTAAGATGTTTCAAACCATTTAGATATCAAACAATGACTCACACCTTCGCAGTTCAACTGTATTAGCATTCGCCCACATAAATATTTGCACTACGTATTCTAGCATTGGGATACAAGTATTTGTTATTGCACACCAGCCGAAAGAACCTAACTACGTAATAAAATACTCCCCACAAATATCAGAAACTTCCTAACTAGGGCCCAAAACCAATCTACATCATTTTGAAAAGAAAAAACCGCGTCTTTCACGGTACCGACTACTTCGAGAATACAAATGACCAACAAAGGAGGGTACACAACAGTGCGAAGTAGCACTGAAACTTCCCCATGTGCTTTTAGCGGCTCAGAGCGTTGTAACGCGCGTGAAACAGCAAACCACTTCAATGAACGCAAATGCCACTCCACTTCAGAACATTTAAATTACTATATTAAGGTCGTACAGTAGTTGGTATGTAACAAAGTTCAACAGTGGTGAAGCCTTCGTAATTGAAATGATGCAATTGAACACGTGCATATGTCATAGGCTTACCAGTAAGGTCAAATACATCGTTGTTGGGGTCGAACTTCAGCTTCTCCACTTTAGCAAACCTTTCAAACATTTCACCATATTTTGCACAAATAGAAGACAACTGCGCTTTAACAGCAAGGACAAGATCTTCTTTCGAAAATCGCCTTTCATTAATTTCGAGATTAGTCAGGAATGGAGATATTTCTGCTTCTCTAAGAGTAGAATCCAAACATGTTTATGAACAGGAACAGAATGTACATTCCGAGGCCACTACTTACCCATTTACGTGAAGAAAAATTTGGATGTAAGGACCCTTGGTAAGGTTAAAGATGAAAACGCTTTCACGGCGCAGACACCTCTCCGATGTAAGTGAAATTACCTCCAATTTTTTGTTACAGAGAGTCGCCACGACATACTACAAGTAAAGAAACCTGTCGTCCGCAAGTTAAAATAGAAACCAGTCCACTCGGAAGCAATCTATGGAAATCAAAGGTGGGCACGCCATGAATTAAATCAGCTTGAACGGAGCAAGTTTGAGCACCGCAAAATGCGGATACTTACGCATACAGTTAATAAATAAATACGTCATCCTGCACTTAAATGTAACTTGAAATTTAAGATTTAAGAGCCAAAAATGTACCAAACGAACCATTAAGTGACAAAAAGGCGCCACGTTGCATTTGAAGATTATTCAGCTCATATTTGTGGTTCCACGCAGTTATGTATACTACAGAAATGAATCAAGTACCTGCTCAACAGTGGTGTAAAGCGAGTTCCATTGAAAAAAATATATTCAGAACACAGAAAAGAGGTCCTCAGGTTACAAATTCTCAAAAGTGAGCGACTTACGTCATGCCCATCTTGGAGAGGTAGATTCCGTTCGAGGGAAGTTAGGATGTCTCTGGCCCGGCAACTGGGTACTACAGGGAGACGATACCTCTTGTTGGGCCAAATCTTGACATCTACGCAGTCATTAGTAAGGGGGAGGCTTAGTGAGTTGAATGGATCAAAGGTTACGGAGATGAGATTGCAGTCAGGACAGGTGACAGTGGATTTGAGGAGACCGTAAAAAAGATCCACAATAATGGAATCGTTACGTTTCTTAAAGTTGGACCAGGCTTCTTCCGCCAACACCTATAAAAATGAAGACAAACAGGCAAAGCTATCATGCTGAAGTAAAAACAATGTTGTCTAAAAGTAAATCGTGAAACTAAAAGAAATTTACGATAGACCGCACATACATATCCAGAAAAGTGCAAAGGGTGAAGTGAAGGCTGATAGGGTAACGGCACCAAAAGAATTTGAAAATGTAGACAGCTTATACAAATCCAAATCAAACATCTACTGTACTACCCCTCGAAAAGAACAAAGCTCACATTGTCCGGACGTCCATCCGCGTCTCTAACCTCGATATACGGCTTCTGCTTAATTTTGTTTAGATCCTCATGAAGAAAGTCCAATAAAAAATTCATCAATTCTTGAGCATCTTGTGGCTGATAACCGGCAAACTGAGGAGCAATTTTTGCTATTTGTATCTAGATAAATTTAAAAAAATAACTATCCGCAAATGATAAAAAGAGATCAATAAAATTCAACTACTTTTAGATCTCGCGGCACGCAGGAGCCCCCTCGATTGCATTCACTCCACATCTGGCGCATTAGACGCGCAAAAGCTCGAGCGATATTTCCACCTGAGCCAAGCTTGTTTTCAGAATTAATGTTATCTTCAAAGCGGTCATCGATGACGTAGCTGCGAAGCGGAGCGACACTTGCAATACACTGAATCGCGCTGTTCATAAAGCAAGTGTTTCCAAGGTTACTTAAACCGCATACTCCGACAGGATATGATGGATCGAAATTGCGGTAGGAAAGCATTCCGTAGAACCCATTACCATTCATGACACTAAAAGGAAGGAAACGCATCAATAATGCCACCGTGCACGTGCGCAGAACGACAATGCATGAAGTAAATCCAGATTTTAACGATTGTAACGAACTCCCACTTCAAAAAAAAAAACAAGGAGGCTTATAAAGGTGATGTTTTCAGAGATCAATGATCATGATAAGAACGTGAACAATACCTCTTGGATGCCACCGCATACTCGATATCCTATAAAAATAAAAGCATGATAGGTGAGGAAAACCTTCTGTGAGAAGGGAACGTACACATACACTAATGTCATCTTAATGAGCTAATGTTCTGTACCTTCTCGCCATCAAGACTGCACTCCTTGAGTGTAGCCTTTTCGTCATCGGGCAGCTTGTCCCCGTTTTTGGCGTCAAACAGATGGATGCTCACATCCGATTTTAGGTCATTCATCTTCCTAATATAGCTCTTGACATAACCTTGAGTAATAACGCACAAGCAAGTGCAACCCACCAATGGTTTCCTTGGAGTTACATTCCAGATCAAGTTTTTGATGTTCGTTACACGAACGCAAATGCAGTAAGGGTGGATATAGGTCAAAGGATGGTTCCTTATCCTCCGTGAAATAAACCTTGCGATAAGGGATGGATCTTTTATCACCATCGAGGCCGTACCAATCAGTAAGCTTTTCAAACAACGCCTCCGGAACACACATTACATCAACTCTCAAGGCAAGATCCGTTTTAAGCTTCCCATTACCTATTTTAGAAGTAGAGTAATGAGTTATACTTGTTATGGAAGAAATGTCTAGAGGACCAGGTGGGTCACCCTTTCCCGTAAGATCCCCACTGGTACCGTTCTCCACGTGCGAACGGCGTATGTAGGTCTTCCACTTGTCAAACCAATCTTTAGAAATAATTACGCTACGTATTTAGCATGCACCACATCAACTTCCTTACCATCGTTTAGCACCGTCAGCTTCCAGCTTTGGTATGTCCCCATCATAAAAGAATTCATCATATTTTCGCTGTTGTTCGCCAATATTCCTGAGACAATCTTCCATGCCGAACATCCAAAATAGCGGACAAAAGTCAGGCTCTTAAATGAAGCGCGCCATACAATAGACAAGAACAAATAAATATAACGGATACGCCTATAAGTATCACTGAAATAGAAGGTTGAATTCCATATCAGTTGCTACACCTTGTACATCTCTAGCCTTTTAGTGCGTATTTGGCTTTAAATCAAAGTACCAGAAGACGACTTTTCCCCAATTTATATAGATCGGCTAAAACCAGCAGCTTACCCTTAGCGAAAATTAGATGCTTGATGTCCAAAGCAGTGATTTATAGCTTCTCAGACCTACGTCCTAATACTTGCAATAATTACCACTATAACTACCAAAACTCAAACTTAATGGGTATGTCTGCAGCTTCTAGAAAGTTCTCGATAGCCATTGAAAGGAATGAGGGAGAAAGGAAGTAGACGTAGCCATTATAAAACTTTGTGTGGACATCCTGTGTCTGACCGTTGCTTGAAGATCCATCCGGTCCTTGTATGCGTGGACTGGTTTTTGGGCCAGACTCAGGCTTAGTCCCTTTTCTCAGTCTAGAGTATAGGTATTTTAGCCCCACTTAATGCCTTTCTCTACCCGATGGTAGCCGTGAAAAGAGAACTCGCCGTTTTGTTAACGAATTCCGCCCTGTTATGTATCGTTTGTAGTATTCATCTACGGTGTCGAGGAGACGCATTTGCATTGGCGGAGGAAGGATCTCTGACTTATTCACAACAAATGGGTTAAGAATGATGTCTGCATTTGGTCTCACCTTACCCTGTGCTCCATAGACACGATGTCAACCAATGAAGCGAAATTACTCCTACTGCGTCCGTGGATAGTTGTCGGGTCTGTGTCGGATCCTATTTCCCCTACAACACATCTATTTTAGCCTACAGTTCCTCTGTGCTGTCCTGGAAGCATTTGCTGTTCAAAAGATGGATGCGGCCTCCATTGTAGCTGTCAGAACAAACGTAACTCTAGGTCCACTTGAAGCTGCTGAGCAGTCCCAGTACAGCTGTATCTGTAGCATTCCGAGACTTCTTGCAGATCAAATAAACCATCACGTTGGGCAGAATACATGCATTTAAAAAGAACAATGAGGTGTAGAACCCTTGCATGGTCCTAAGACCAACCCTTGCCTACAAAGGCACAACGAATACTAGTGATCGCCAAAATGCAACAGATTCTCCTAACTATGGTGTAGTGCCCGAGGCTTCCCACTAGGTGAAAGGTGTAGTGTCCTGAGAATTCCCATACGGTAGAAGAAGGCAGTAAGTGAGGTTGTATACATGCATTCCGAATGGCCTGAGCGTGGCCCGAAAGCCAGCCAACGAGTACAGGGACCGAACAAATACCAAAGTGACCGCCAGACGTCAGATAGTCAAGTAAACAAAGCATAACAGACGGCATCGTGTTGGACTGAATACATGCATTCTAGGAGTTGAGGAAGCGATAGGGGCTCATGCATAAAAGTAGGAGACGAACTACCAGGCTAACGGCCATACATTAATTGGTCAAATTAACAAAGCATTAAAAAGGTATTGGGCCCAAACGAATGTCTTTAAACTAATGGGAAGTGTCAAAGATACCATAGAGGAGCGGCACTTGTTATAAGTGTTTGCGGCTCGTACTTCACACACAAAACAGCCTCTCGGCAATCGTTATGTAAATGAGTGTTTTAAAAATTAGTTACAAAGTGTTCTCCACGTGATGGCATAAAGTCCCTAAATATTAGCGGCATTCCGTCTCGATATGCTTCAAAGCTGTTGGTTACTTTGGTACGTATGTTTTGGCATATGTATTGTTTTATTGTGCTTACAATTTGTATGCTTGCACTTATTTGACAGTGCAATCATTCGGGCACTAGCGTGGTATCTCAATTGTCACATGGCAGTGGAGGAGGTTATTGATACTGTTCTTGAAGGTGGTTCATTTAATGACGTAAGGATTTTGAAGGCTCATCCTTTCTTCGTCACTTCAACTTCGATTACCAAAAGTTGGAGTCACTACCTCCAACTGAGTACAAGTCGATTCTGGTTTACTTATTTTTATAAGCATTTATCTGTTTCTTTAGAGTCCCACCGATGGATACTACCGATCCACGTCACAGTCAAATGTTTTTCCCTATTTGAACAACAAAAATGTTGAACTTCGCTTCTTTACTAATGTGATTTTAGCCACTGTCTCCGACCCAGATAACTAGTCTAAAAGGCGTATTTAAAATCATTGACAACTATGAGGATCTTTGCTATTGTCTTCGTGGTCCGGGAATGGAGTCTATTCGAGAACTTTATTGTGTTCATATTTTAAACCATGTGCTTAAGTAGGTTGATATTCTTCTCCATTGTCTTAAGATCTCGTAAGATCATGGTCACAAATACTGCTCGTGCCTTAAAGTCAGGTCTCGATGAGTAAGTTTGCTGATTTTGGGGTGGATTTTCGTCCCCGCGCTTTAGCTCTATCCGGGACCAAGGATTTCATCGGGCCAGGGTCTTGATTCTCCTCCCAACTCGTGAAGCAGCTAGAAGAACTGTGCACCAAATATTACGCCTTATGCCACAGGGTTCCACAGTTAGTCATAGAAGGCGTTTCGAGCAGGATTTTGGTCCTCGGGAAGGTCAGGGTGACCGCGACAAGCGGAAGGGGAGGAAGCCACCCGATTTTGAGGAGTGGTTCGCGTGTATGACGAGTTTATTTGTAATTTCTCTTCGCTATGTATCTATGGTGGTCTATATAGTTAGGCCACTTTGATGTCATAGGTTTTCAGATTCCAGTCAACTGCGTTGATATGCGCGGTTGAGGATTTTGGTATTGATGTTACGACCTTCCGCGTATATTGCTTAAACATTTTTCTGGCTTAGGTAACTCTGATGATCGTTTTCGAATTGGTATTGCAGTGACAAAGAAGTCCATAAAACTCTATTCTTCTTTTCCGGAATCAGACGTTGTATTGGCCTCCCCACTAGGTCTGGAAACGATTATGAATAGCAAGGAGTAGGCTGCATTTTCTTGCATCTTGGTTTGTCATTATCACCGCCAGTAACACTTTGCTTATTTTGCAGAGATAAATCTGTGGACATACAATGCATAACTTCCTCAATCGAGGTTTTGGTTATTGATCAGGCTGAGCATTTACTTATGCAGAATTGGGGAATAGTTCAGGACTGCGTCAGTCGACTAAATCAGAGGCCGAAGAAGCCGTCGTTTTCTTTTCCGGCACGCATTCGTCTGGCTTATTTGGCGGGATATGCCTCGCGGTATCGGCAAACACTTATCTTTTCTGCAGTGAATTGTCACTTGGTGACCATGTTGCTAGGACGGTGTGAAAGTAAGCATGTTGCCATATTTGATGGGTGCTCTTTTTTCCTTGGTTAATTTTGGGAATCTACTCACGCGTTTGTTGAATTTGTTAAAATTAGGTAGCTAGTCTACTTTTTCATTGCATTTCATTATTTTCGCAGCCGTGTGGTAGTTTTGATTTACTATGTTCATTTATTTGGCACAGATTTCCAAGGTATGAACCTGTTCCTTCCTATTCCGCAATATCAGAGTGGCCGCCCGTTTTTCGGTTTTTTGCCCGAAAATTACCTCGTACCGGGCCTCAAAAGGTCGGCTACAGATGCTTTGGAAACCTCAGAACCCTTAACGGCTCTTGACAACTTCAAGCTTCAGCTAATCAGCTTCGGAGTGGCAGGGTCTTTACACACCTCAAATCCTTTGTTTGAGTTGTCGAAAAATATCGACTCGCCCGATATTAGTGGTGAGGAGGAAGTATGTGCGATGACACTGCCCTTGGGAGAAGTGGATGATGTATTGCTGTTAAAAAGGAGACTGTCAACTTACGATCTGTCTGAAACAGGTGGACTCACCTAAATATATTTGATGCTCGTAATATACAATTCTACTTACATTTGCTAAGTAAATATTTTGACTTTAGGTGGTCGTGTGGTACCACTTGCCCGACTCGCCACATTCAAACAGCGTCTCCTCCCACGTCTTCGAAAAGGACTTGACGAGCGCATACTGATCTATGTTCCAGACTACTATGATCTAGAAGAATTACGAAAAGTATTGCGCGAAGAAGCTCTCTCCTTTTGTTGTATACACGAGTGCGTCTCGAGCTTTGCTGTTGTATTTATTATTTCCGTCTTCATTGCTATCAATGTTTCACTCTTAAGAAATTTCGTTCCTACCGTTTTAATGCATCTAAATCTTGCCTTGACAACACTCATGCTTTCGGGAGTTGTTGGTATCCATGAATTTCTGTTCTATTTCAGGTATTCAGAGGACAACGAGGCTGAAAGATACAGGAATCTGTTTGATCAGGGTCGCATTCGTATTATGCTCCTCAGCGAACGCTATTACTTTTACCGAAGGTATACTTCTTTCGACTTTATTGTTAAAGCTTTAACATCAAATGAAGTTGCTTTAAGTAGCTTTGTCGTATTTCTGATGTGGGTTTCTCTGGTCGTCTGTTGTGCTACTTTCACCACCCCTAGCTGTTGTGGGAAAATTCATGCTGAATTGTCTATAGAGTTCCCGTGTGTGATCTCCTAAACTAATCTCTAGCTAACATTAATTAGGCTTAATGTCTTCAATTTATCTTGGACGGTGACGGTCCTTGATAGTGTTGCCCTGTTCTATTTTTATTGCCTCTATATCAATGTGGAGTCAATTAATCCCCTTTTTTGCTTTAACTTTTTTGAATGGCAAGCCTCAAAGGAATAATGCTTTCTTCTAGTCCCTATTTTTAACTTCGGATTTATTAAAAGGATTGGATGCTCCACCATTACACGCATACATGTCGGTTGTGTAAGTTTTGGTAGTTATTGCTAATAGCTAATCTGGTGATGGTTTTTAGGCGGAAAATCCGAGGAGCTCGCAATTTCATTTTCTATGGAGTACCCACCTTTCCATGGTTTGTGCGCGAACTTCTCTTGTGTTGCGAGGTGGCACCGGCGGTGGCAACCACGGCGTCGGGTGAGACAATTTCATTCGGGGCCACTAAGTCTTCTGATACCCTTTCCACTTCTCTCACTATCCTCTACTTTCCTCCTTGGGAGGCCAGTCAGGTCAGCATGATCACCGCCTCCATTGACGTATGAAATGTCCTTGCTCCTTTTGTCTCCTCACTTTGTCCGTGTGTGCATGTATTTTGAATGTCTTCCAGAACTGATCTTATACAAGTTTTTATTTTGTAAAAAATTGTTTTCGTAGTTTACGGGCTTTGCTGCAGGTTTACCAATAACAATTAGTCCTTGCTTATGAACCTAGTCCAGTTTTTATGTAGTTGCAAGGATAAATACTGTCTGGACAGATGCCATTCTTAGTTTTTGCCTCTCAGGATTAGTGTTTGGGCATAAGGAAAATAAGGATTCCTTTTACTACAGCATTTATTCTTTAGGCCCCCAAGGGTGCTAACCGTGTTTTGTGGATTTGTTACATCTGTTTTGGCAACACTTGTATTTAGTGGTCTCTTCCTTTTTAGCTGCTGGGCAGCGGTATTGTGTCGCAAAAGCATAGACCTCTGCCTTAGTTTGCATCGCACGTACTCAGATGGTGGTTTAGGCATGTCATAGCAAATTTCTTCGAGACGCTCTATAGTTTTGAACTGAGACAAATTTTTCAAGTTCGTGCGACTGAAACCACTTCAATATCACAGTCTAACTGTAACTGCGAGTTTCTCATGCATAACTGAATAATTGATGTTGGCGCATGTTAAAAGCCTTACCGGGTATGAAATGATCAGTGTTTGGTTCCCCAGCAATGTACTTATTTCATATTGGTAGATCAAAATAAAGATATTTCTGTTCAACGTATGTGATACTATCACTCCCAGTATTTTGATGATGAAGTAACACCTCAAACGTGTGTTTCAGCATCTTCTTGAGCCTTTTTAAAAAGAACCCGAGTTCAACTGCATCGTTCATCGTGACCGACTTTTATTATCCACCCCATCGAAATTGCCAATATAGTGTGCATTATTTGGACCATCTTGATCGAAGCTAAAATTGCTTCCCTACTACCCATAACTATTGCTACCTGGGGATAGCCATGGACGAGGTTGAGCTGGCTTGTCATGCAATCCGCTGTTAGCGTTCGCACCTCGAAATGGTGTAATTAATCGTCTCAACTATTTTCTAGTGGGAGTTTACTAATTGCAATGCTGACAAAAGCACGGTTTAAAAAGTTGTCAAGTGGGGCTTCATCTATCTAAAAGATCGAAGGTTTGGCCTGTATTTGGGCGTGCTGAGGCAGTAGCTGAAGCATTTGTTGCTTAATTAGTCGTTGCTGGGAGTCCTATGGAAAATTCTGAAATTTTGCGTTATATCTTTGGTAGAAGATTGGCACGCTGCGGTTAATCGTTTTTATAATTAGCAATGTTTGATTGCGTAATGCTTTGATTGGATGTTCAACTCAGTTTCGGATGCGCGGCCTTTCAAGGCGGAGGGATTATTCTGACGCAGATCACCGACCCTTCTGCGCGTTGACAGTATAAGGCTGTAAGCATGACTTCCTTTGGCTTCAGAAAACAATTGTAGTGCTCCTCATTCAAGCTTTGTTCAAATATCGAAGCTTCTGCAAAGCTGCGCGCAATGCAACTCACACTAATGCTTACTATCCTCCTCAAGCACAAAACTCCTCATGAGTCATCAGCTTCTGTCTTACCATAACAGGCGGCCTCGTTTTCATTGAAACTCGTTCTAGTAATGCTTTGGGTGATACAAAACAGTTATTTTTTAGTTAGCCATTTTGTTCACGCAGCGTCAACCATAGCAGTTGAAGATGTTCCTTCTTCGTGGAATAAAGATTTAAAGAAATGGAAGCATTCACGAAAATATGACTTTAAGTAGGGCAACTTCACCTCGGCGTAAGTTGGTAACGTCCGAATTGCCCATCTATTAGGCGACGGATTGCTTGCTGCATCTTCCCATGGGCAGCAAAATGAGACTCTTCATGTTTAAGACGCTCTCCCATAATGTGTACGTAAGTAGTTAAGGTGACCTCATCGGTGAAAAACTTCAGCATCAGTGAAAGTGGGCCAAATTTATCGAGGCAATGGAGAAAGTGGGGGAATGTTGGATTTTGCTGGCAGGTTTGACCTTCCACCTTTTTCACTTTACTTAAATCCTATCCAAGCTTATGCCATTGTGTAAGTAATGTTTACTTCGGTAAATGAGCCAAAATGGTTCCACGCATTAACAAACTGGTAGGTTTTTGGCGATTCAAAAAGGCACTGATCAATTTAAAATTCAATCCCTATAATTCTTAGCATTACAAGGATTTGGTGCAGATTCCCATGTGCTGTACATGGCTGGAAAAGAGCAGGTTAAACCTTTCAGTTCCTTGCTCTAAAAAATTTGTTGCCAACACAATCATTGCATATTGACGCTACCGTCCAATCGACAGAAGTGTTCCATTCGTTTCGAAGCACAAAGAAGATGACTGTAAGACACGTGCTCAATGCGCCATATCGTGTACGGTCTCGAAAGAAAGTGTTCTGCTTGGCCAATTTCGGAAACCTGGGGTTTTTGCACTATTTTGTACTGCTTCTTCTTAAACTCCAGAGATTGCTTAAATAGCCATGTGGCCGCCTCAATTATAAATTCCGATGATTGGTATGTGTTCCCAATGCCAAATTTCTCCTGCCCCTGATCTGCCTTTCTGCCTTCTTCCCCCGCCCACCGCCCTAATATTCACCAAAGCAGCAGTACGATTTCCCCGAGGAAACCTTTCAGCAGACACGATCACCTACCTTCGGGCATGAAACTCTTAATGTTCTACAATTTGGCTTCATATATCCACATTCTGCAAGAACGCATACCTATTTGGGTGCGTATGTAAGTCATCAGGCGATGTGAAAAATTATGAATAGATGCTCACTCGTGTTTTAAATCGTTTTGCTTTAGCAGACTTTGTCTGTTAACCATTACTTTTGAGCAGTGTCACTACTCATTTTATAATGATTAAACGCGAAAGGCAAGTTGAACCTTCAATTTTGATGAAAACGTTTTCACAATTATCATTTAACTTCACATTAAAATATGTTTGCATATTTTAATGCCTTGTATATGTGACTACCTGCGTTTGGCGGTCACTTTGAAATTTGTCTGGCCCTTAAACTCGTGGGTTGGCCTTCGGTTCATGCTCAGGCCCATATGCTCTGTTCTCTTCGGAATACATGTATCCAGCCATACTTACTGCCTACTTTCACCCGGTGGGACGTCTCGGGACGCCACACATATTATTACATAAAACTGGAGCCTCGTCAGACGTACTACCAATGTCCATTTATTGTATTGTTTTTCCGAGTCTGAGGCATTGATTAGTGCTGACAACTTCAAAAAGCTGTCCATCTTATCAAGTATTTGTTGATCCTAAAAGGCCACCGATCATCCGTAAATTAACACAATTCAATCGATTTATAACATTTTTCGCGCAAATCACATCAGACTTGCGACTTCCGGTAAAAGGAGGCTGTTTTTCTAATTGATAATTGAAAACCTATTTGTTAGCCACCTGTTCCCACATTGAGAGATGAGAGGATTCCCATTCCTTCCCCCTCACTTGCACCACGTAACGACACCAACCAATTGAACTTCCAACCGTTGCAACGGGACACCAATGGGCGAACGATCGAGTGAAAGAGGACTTGAAACGCGAAGCGCAAAATAACTGTATCATACCTGATGTTCGCCAGCATCACTGGTTCGCGAATTTTAACTTTTTAAAAGCATTTCCATTTTTGGTCTGTAGGTGAGGCAGAATCTGTACAGGATCATAATCATATCCTCAGATGTGGAAATTGTCACTAACCTGTTCAGAGGGTGTCTTCACTTTAACATTGTAGTTAAGCCTGGTCCCCGCCTAGTTCCATATGAACACTATGTAACTATTTTCTTCATCATTAAGGAAATTGAGGCAGTAATCATCCGCAATCTATGGCTTGGAATGGTGGCAATAGTTTTTACAGAATTTAGATTTGCACTCGTTTCGAAAACATCAGGAGCTATGCTTTTTATACATTGATACACACTTAAAATGTGTTCAAAGAGTCCGGATTCTATTAAAACAGAAGGCGAAGGGGGCAACATTCTCTGACACATGGACCGTAAAAAGGCTTCTACTTTTTAATCATAAGTACACAAATATGGTCAAACGTTGCCAACAGTCATTAAAATGGTTGAGGATGCAAGACGGAACGGGGAATGAAGAGCTTTGAACTATCAATGCTTTAAACAGAGTGAGGCTTGTTTGTCATAAGCTAATGCACATAGTACATTCTATGCTACACGTAAAAAGCTGCAATAAAATATAGGCATAGTAATAAATATTTGAACCAGAATTTAAGATTACATTATTAAAGGCATTACAAATCGGGTTTTTGCACAGTACTACCCAATCACTTTTCAATTGCCTCATTTAGCATCCAAATTAATACTTGTTGCTCGAGGTGTAAGTCCGTGTGAATGAGAGTCGCGGCCACCAATGCAATGACAAGGCAAACCGATGCAACCGAAGTGAAAAACACACCTCAGTCTTACGCACTGGCAGCCAAAGGACGTCCAAATTAGCGGTTTAACAATTTATCAAACTTGAATCATTAGAGGAATAACCAAATATGCTTGATACTGTTGTATTATCGTAGTTACTGGGACCGCGGAGAAGTCGGTTGCTTCGTGACCTTGGTTATTTGTTCGAGCGCTGAAGCGCTGATCTCGACTGTAAACGGCATTCTAAGTGCGGCGTCCCGAGACTTTCCATAGGGTAAAAGAAGGCAGTAAGTGTGGCTGGGTACATGTATTGCGAAGAGAACAGAGGAAATGGGCCTGAGCACGGCCCGAAGGCCAACCCACGAGCACAAGGGCCAGACAAATACCAAAGTGACCGCCAAACGTCAGATAGTCACATAAACAAAACATTGCACTAATAACTCCCAATTATTAACCTATGCATCAACTAGAATGAATACTGGATAATTTCTGCAAATAATTTACCAAAGTTTTTTTGGTTTGACTAGACTTCCACTTGTGTCAAAATTGGTGAAGGAGATGTCTTTTCATGGTTGATGATGGAGCATCAGAAGGAAATAAAAGGCAGCATC